GGGGGTGAAGCAACGCAAGGAAGACCTTTCTCAATCTTTCTCACTGCCTAACTATATCTGTCAAATAAAAAAAATGGTGTCATAAACAAATACAGTAAAATACAGTTGGCTACTGCTAGCATTTTTTTTGCGGGGGGGGACAGGCAGAGTTAGCGAGAGAGACGGAGAGAAAGGTCTTCCTTCCGTTGGTTCACAATGCAAATGGCCAGTAGTGCTAGCACGCTGTGCTGATCCAAAGCCAGGAGCCAGTTGCTTCCTCCTGGTCTCTCATGCAAGTGCAGAGCCCAAGCACTTGGGCCATCCTCCACTGCCTCCGGGCCACAGCAGAGAGCTGGACTTGAAGAGGAGCATTCAGGTCAGAACCGGCACCCCAACCGGGAATAGAACCCGGGGTTCCGTCGTCTCAGGCAGAGGACTAGCCTAGTGAGCCATGGCGCCAGAGCTAGCTAGCCTTTTTTAGGCATTTTATGCTTTTTAAAGATATATTTATTTTATTTGAACTTCAGAGTTACAGAAAGGCAGAGGCACGGGGGAGGGTGGGAGAGAGAGAGACAGGGAGAGATAGAGAGAGAGAGAGGGCTTCCATCCGCTGGTTCACTCCCCAGATGGCCCAGATTCTGCAGCTGGGCTGATCCAGAGACAGGCCCTCCTCAGCTGCTTCCCAAGGCCAGGGCAGAGAGCAGGATGGGAAGCAGAGCCCTGGCCTCAGCCCCTGCACCACAAGCACCCACCCCTGCAGGCATTTTAAATTCATTGCCCTAGGGGATAGCCACACCTAAAAGGGTGTTTCCTGGGCGGGGCTGCCAGGGGTGTATAAATGAAAGGCGCTGGCTGACTGCACATCAGAGTTCTCATCCACTCCCACAGCGAGGACAGCAGCTCTCCACGTCCACACCGTGAGTTTGCTTCAGCCTGTCAGTGGGCTGTTTGGTGTGTGGGGGCGCTTCGAGAAGGTCCCGGGGCAGGAGGCATTGTGGCATCTTTAGCTGGCCTTTGGGATACTGGTGTGCAGATGGAGCCCTGGCTACTCCACTTCCTCTCCTGCCTCCTGATATTGGTTTGGAAAGCAGCAGATGGTGGCCCAAGTATTTGGGTCCCTGTCCCCATGTGGGAGACCTGGCTGGAGTTCCAAGCTCTTCGTTTTGGCCTGGCCCAGCCTTGGCTGTTGTGGCCATTTGAGGAGTGAACGGGAGATGAAAGGTATCTCTTGGGTCTCCCTCTCTGTCATTCTGCTTTCCAGTGAATTAATAAATCTTTTAAGGACATGGAAATGCATATAATGAAAACATGCATGGATTTTTTAAAAGTTTATACAAAACCTTATCCCTTTTTTTGTTTTCATTTTTGTTTCTTTCTTTTTGTTTTAAAACCTCATCTTTGATGGTAGGCACTGTGGCTCGCTAGGCTAATCCTCTGCCTGCAGCACATGTACCCCCGGTTCTAGTCCCGGTTGGGGTTCTGGATTCTGTCCCGGTTGCCCCTCTTCCAGGCCAGCTCTCTGCTGTGGCCCGGGAAGGCAGTGGAGGATGGCCCAAGTGCTTGGGTCCTGCACCCGCATGGGAGACCAGGTGGAAGCACCTGGCTCCTGGCTTCAGATCGGCACATTTCACTGGCCGTAGCGACCGTTTTGGGGGTGAACCAATGGAAGGAAAACCTTTCTCTCTGTCTCTCTCTCTCTCTCACTGTCTAACTCTGCCTGTCAAAAAATAATAAAATTTGTCTTTTCATTCCATTTTCTATGAGCTTTTTGAAGAGCACTCATAGGCACTCAGAGAATGTGAGACTACATTTATTTCCCTCGAAGGATAATCAGTTATTGTCTGAGGGGGTTTATCTTCCACCATTGATGGGGATGAATTATTAAATTAGCAGGTCTTGATTCTGGGTTTTGCTTTTGGAATAGTTTTTAATTTTCTGTGACCTTAGATTCTGGCATCTTCCAGAAGGGAACGTGCACTTAAAATGCAAATGATGAGGGGCCAGCCTTGTAGTGCAGGGCAATAAACCTCTTCCTGTAACACTGGCATCCCATATGGGTGCTGGTTCAAGTCCTGGCCATTCTTAACACCAATCCAACAAGCAAACTGTAAACAATACATGATGAAGGCTACTCATCTTTTGGTATCATTTCGGGATGCAACTGGAGATCTCTAATCCTTATGATTCCCCCTTCCCTTAAATTTAAGATTCAGTGAGAAGAAACATCCCCTATGAAAAAACAAAGTCATTTCTCACAAGCACAGTGATAGGAGGATGAAATACAGGGCCTCTGGGTTCATACTGTGGTCGCTATGGGTACACAATGCAGGTGTTAGTATCTCTCAGAAAATTGAAGATGCATTAACTATTTGTTAAAGACTTACTTGTTTTTTATTTATTTTGAAAGAGTTACAGAGAGAGAGAGAGAGAGAGAGAGAGAGGAGGTCTTCCATTAGCTGGTTTACATCCCCAAATGGCTGTGACAGCCGGAGCTGAGCTGTATGGCTGTGTGAGAGCCATTCTTACCAGGGGAGGGAGAGATGTCTCCTCATTGTGGTTTGATTTGCATTTCCCTGATGGCTAGTGATCCTGAACATTTCTTCATGTGTCTGTTGGCCATTTGGATATCCTCTTTTGAAAATGTCAGTTGAAGCCCTTGGCCCATCTCTTAACTGGGTTGTGTGTTTTGTTGTGGTGCAGTTTTATGATCACAACAGTGCTGTTGTTGCAATCCCGTTTCACTTATGTGACACTAAGACCCAGGAAGCTTGAGTTTCAAGCTTCATGTTCCAAGAGCAGTAAATAAGAAACCAGTCTCTGACTTCTAGCAGCTGGAATGTATATTGTATGATCATAGTGTATCCTCCTTGTTGCCTGTTTGCTCAACAGAAAAAAACAACAACAAGAAGCAAACATGCTTAAAGTTCTAGGTCTTTCAAATAAATAAATTTTAAAATTCTAATTGTGGCAGAGCTCCAAAAATCTCCTCACCACCAAGACTGTGGCTGTATTAATCCAATCTATGTGATTGGGAAGGGCTGGATTTAGAAAGGTATTTAGAGGTAATCTCATTATCACACTGGATTTCCTCCTTGGTTTAATCAACTTTTAAGACATTTGAGCGCCAGGTGCCTGGGGTCACTAGGCTAATCCTCTCCCTGCAGCACTGGAACCCTGGGTTCTAGTCCCGGTTGGAGCGCCGGATTCTCTCCTGGTTGCTCCTCTTCCAGTCCAGCTCTCTGCTGTGGTGTGGAAGGCCGTGGAGGATGGCACAAGAGCTTGGGCCCTACACCTGCATGAGAGTCCAGGAGGAAGCACCTGGCTGCTGGCTTCGGATCAGCTCAGTGTGCTGGCTGTATTGGCAATTTGGGGGCTGAACCAACGGAAAAGGAAGACCTTTCTCTCTCTCTCTCTCTCTCTCTCTCTCTCTGTCTAACTCGGCATGTCAAAAATAAAAAATGAAGAAAAATTAAGAAAAAAAGGAAGTTGTGAAAATTCATCAGGTGTATCTGAAAAAAAAAGTACAAAAAAAAGTCATTGGAGGGTGTTGGATTGCCATATGCTTTCTTGTCTTTACAAACTTTTATTATTTGACAGGCACAGTTACAGAGAGAGGGAGAAACAGAGATCCTCCATCCACTGGTTCTCTTCCCAGAGGGCCATGGGGGCCAGGGCTGGGGCAGGCTGAAGCCAGGAGCCCAGAGCCTCTTCCAGATCCCACACGTGGTGTGGGTGCAGGAGCCCAAACACTTGGGCCATCTTTCTCTCCCTTCTCAGGCCCACCAGCAGGGAGCTAGATTGGAAGTGGAGCAGCTGGGTCTCAAAGTGGCACCCATAGAGGATGCTGGTGTTGCATGTGGTGGTTTAACCCACTATGCCAAAACACTAGCCTCTGCATTTGCTTTCTACCAGATAGTGAAATCAAACAACAGAAGATGTGGTTGGGAATCCACCGGTGATGACATAAAACTCACTTTTTGAGATTTCCTATTTTTCTTTCAGCAGCCTTGGCACTCAGGATTCTACTTGCAGTGTGGCCACAGACAACTCTCCAAAGAGTCAATTCCCTTGAATTCTGACTCAAGTGTCTTTGGCCGGAACTGAGAATGGACAACAGGTAATATCTTTTTTTCTGTAGTTTCCTTTGAATTTTTTTTTTCATTTGCTTTTTCTGACATCAGAATGTTGGAAAGACACAGACATTCTAGGCTGCTTAGAAAGACATAGGCAAATGGGTGAGGGGAGGGAGAAGAATTAAGAAAGTCATTTTAAATTTTCATTGCATTTGGAAGGCAGAGAGAGAGATCTTCCATCTACTGGTTCAGTCCTCAAATGCCTGCAACCATCAGGGCTGGGCCAGGCTAAAGCCAGGAGCCCAGAACTAGTGCACGTTTCCACACAGGTGGTAGAGTCCCAAATAATTGAACCTCACGTGCTACCTCGGAGGGTCTGCATTATGCTGTGTCTCTCTCTTCATGTTTCTCTTCGCCTACCCTCCTCAATTTTCATGAAAAGCTCACCATCTTAATTCTGTTTTCATACTCCTTGCATGAAATGGCTGCTTGCATGCTCAGCATTTACTCAAGTCCCCACTGTAGCTACATTTCTATTAAAATGTCCGTGTGTCTTTTTCTTTAGGGTACATGCGTTGTATTTGTAAACAAAGAACATCCCCTCACAAAGTGCATGGTTTTGTGCAGACGTGGAACAAGAGGACTGGACCTAGTATGTTGAAAGAACCCATCACAGAAACAGTGGAAAGGGAAAAGGATATTCAACTGATTTTCATGTTTCAAGGTGGAAAACCTATAGATAAGAGGTTTTTCCCTAGACATTAATATTCTAGAATGTTTTAGACATTATGGAGAAAGACAAAATGGCCTGTGTCTGACCTTCTGGAAAAAAACCTGTGTCTTGGCAAACTCTCTCGCACACATACTGAACGGTTGCAGATCTTGCTGGACATCATTCGTCAGAACAAACATCAGTGGCCCATTAAATCAGAAAGTTATTGGGGTGTCATGGAGAGCATGAATGGGTACACAGAGCCTGACAAAACTCCATCTTCCAATGTATGTCGTGTGCCAAGTGCTGAGACCTTCACTACAGAAGAAGGAAGTGGAACAACGTTCCCCCAGCAGTTGCTGGGCAAATCGCCAATGCTTGCCAAACAAGGGTTACCAGAAAAGAAAGATAGGAAGAGAAAACCAACACTGTCGTCCAGTCTAGATACGGATGAAGGCTTCCTGGAAGAAAATGAGAGTGTGCCAAGCAAGAAATTCAAGAAAGATTCCTTGAAAGATCTAGCAAAGGATGGAAGTTCGAAACATGGACCTTCCCTCAGGACCGCCTCTCCTGGAAATTCTCCCCTGGATGAGACTGTTCTTTCTCCTCAGAGTGTGTCTGACAAAAGTCTGCTATTGCCATCGGTACCAGAACGTGCCCAGGACGACCCACAACACGATCAAGACCAATTGTGCCTTGACTCTCACCCAGAGCAACTGCAGCAGGGCTTCCCCAATTTGGGAAACACCTGTTACATGAACTCAATTTTACAGTCACTCTATGCAATTCCATCATTTGCTGATGGCTTACTAGGACAAGGTATTCCATGGGAGAACATTCCTTCTGACGTGCTTATTATGCCTTTAAGTATGTTGCTTGCTTTGAAAGATATTTGTAATCTAGAGACTAGCCAAGACCTACTCAGAGATATTAAAAATGCTATCTCAGCTGTTGCAGAAATATTCTCGGGCAACATGCAGAACGATGCTCATGAATTCTTATGTCAGTGTTTAGACCAGCTGAAAGGCGATTTTGAAAAAGTAAACACCATTTGGAAAACGAGGAGGGAGGCTGGAGATGAAAATTCACCTCCAGAGTTGTTTGCTGGTGATGCTGCCACCAAAGTGTTTGTTTGTCCAGTTGCTTCCAATTTTGAATTTGAATTGCAGGACTACGTGATTTGCAAAGCCTGTGGTCAAGTTGTTGTCGTGATAGAGCCTGGTAATTGTATCTCCATCAACCTACACCCAAAACCAAAAGCATCCCCTTTGTCCCTTCAAAATTGTTTTGATCTTTTCTTTACAACAGAAGAATGTGAGCGCCTCTGTGAAATGTGTAACCACAAGAAGGCTGTGGTGATGCATAAATTTGGCAGGCTACCCAGAGTCTTCATTGTTCATCTGAAACGCTACAGTTTGAGTGACACTTACGTGCTAATGAAGGATGACCAACAAGTTCTTATTCCCAAATATTTGAGTTTATCCTCTAATTGCAATGAAGACACCAGACCACCACTTCCCTTGGATAGTAATGCACCTGTGTTGGACCCCGAAGTACTGAACCTCACCCAAGAGGTTAATTCTGAGAGAGTCAGCCCATGCACATCATCTGTGAAGCTGACCTGGCAATCCAGTGACTCTTCAGTTCTGCATGTTGCACCAGACGAAGATGCTGAACAAAACACACCTCAGAGAATTTGGCAAGCCAGGCCAAAGGAGCAGCAGCAGAGTGACCTAGCAAGTGGCTCAAATCTGGAGTCCAAACTGGGCAACGCAAGAGATAGGGAAGTCAGAGAAATGGAGATGCTGGCAGCTGCCTCAGTGATGGATCAGGGAGACATCTCTCTTCTTATGATCTGTGAAGATGAAAGTAATCCTATAAACAACCCAGACAGAGGACTTGAAGAAGTTTGTTGTCAAGAGGAGCCTGAAAATCCAGAACCCAAGGACGATGAGAAAACCAGTACATTGGTAGAGTTAGATTTTGATCATGTTAGTGAGTCTTCAAAAGATCTTTGTGACTACGAAAAACATAAGATTTCAGAAGGATTGAGTGGCATGGTTGAGCAGCTGCACGAATCTGTTACCAAAGACATCGTGGGCATGGAGAACCATAGCTAAGGTCAAGGAACCAAAAGGAAGCATGCAAATGGGAGATGCTCTTCATTCTTACCGACTGATCAGCGTCATCAGCCACATAGGGAACTCCCCGTGTGCAGGCCATTACATCAGCGACGTGTATGACTTTCAGAAGCAGGCCTGGTTCACGTATAGTGATCTGAGGGTGGCAGAAATCCCAGAGGCCATGGTGCAGGAGGCAAGGCTTCACAGTGGGTACATCTTTTTTTACATGCACAATGACATTTTTGAGGCACTTGTGAGCAAGGCAGAGAAGTCCCAGCTAACCAGCCAACAGGAAGAGGTGTTCCTTCCAGGAGAATAAGAGGGCTCCTGAAGACACAAGGAGCTCAGGACAAAGATCAAGGGCTGGTCTTGTGGTGCGAATGCCAGGCTGGTGGAGTGGCATAGCTGCTTCAGCCACCCCTTGGGAAGCACGTAGCCTGTCCTGGAGTGCCAGTTTGAGGTCCAATACCTCTGCTTCTGATCCAGCATTCTTACTAATGTGCGCGGGAAAGCAACAGAAGACGGCCTGCGTCCTTGAGCCTCTGCCACACACGTGGGAGACCACAGTGGAGTTCCTGGCTCCTGGCTTCAGCATGGCCCAGCCCTGGCTGTTGGGGCCATTTGGGGAGTGAGCCAGTGGATGAAAGATCGCTCTCATTCTCTCTGTTGTGCCTTTTACAGCAATAAATCGTCTTATATAAAATAAGATGGAAGATCCACAAGACTCATACATAACTCAGGCTAGGTTGCATGATTCTCTCCTACAAGATTAAAATGGCACTTGTCATGTTCTAATGCAGTCGTTTTCCAAGTGTTGCTGTGCAATCAATGTCACAGCAGCAAAGAGGATCTGATCAGAAATGACAATTTTGAGACCTCTCCAATCCAACTGACTCAGAAACTGCAAATGCGGACCAGAAATCTGATGGACATTATGATGCCCATGAACTTTTGAGAAGCACAATCATAGTGTGTAGAGTACCTAGGTTTTATTTTGCTGAATCTGCTGCTGGGGTGTGTGTGTGTGTGTCTGTGTGTGTGTGTGTCTGTGTGTGTGTATTTATTTAAAGGATTTTAATTATAATTTTAAGCTTCTTGAACTCACGTATGTCTGTTTTGTAAGCTTATTGAAATAAATACCCAAACAATGCAAGTACCATTAACTGGCTTCCACGTGTGTTTGTAACTCCTCACTGGAACAATTTGCTACCTAGCAAGCAACTGTATTTCCATATCCTCCCAGGAGCTGCAAGGTAGAACTTCAGGCTTACATGAGCAATGCAGTTAATGATATGATGAGGACAGGCACTGTGGCTCAGTGGGTTAAGACACTGCTTGGGGTGTTTGCATCCCCTCTTGGAGTTCCCGGGATTGAATGCCACCTCTGCTTCTGAGTCAGCTTCCTGCTAATACACATTCTGGGAGACAGTAGATACTGGCTGCAGGACTTGGGTTCCTGCCACCCACGTAAGAGAACTGGATGGATGTCCTGCCTCCTGGCTTCAGCCTGGCCCAGCCTCAGCAGCAGTAGGCATCTGGGGAGTGAATCAATAGAAAGAGGATCAATCCATCTCTCTCCCTCCTTCCCTCCCTCCTCTCTTCCTTCCTCTAGTCCCTCGCACACATCACTTTACCTTTGGAATAAATGAATTAAAACTGCAAAAGTGGTTTTATAATTAAACACTATGTAAAATGGGGCCGGTGTTGTGGTACAGTAGGTTAAGCCACTGCCTGCAATGCTAGCATCCCATATACCTAGCTAGAGTTCTATCTGCGCCACTCCCAATCCAGCTCCCTGCAGATGTGCCTGGAAAAGCAGAAGATGCCCCAAGTGCTTAGGTCCCTGCTGCACATGTGGGAAACCTGGGTGGAATTCCAGGCTCCTGACTTCAGCTCGGCCTAACCCCAACTCTTGTGGCCATTTGGGGAGTGAATCAGCAGAAAGAAGATCTTTCTGTCTTCCTCTGTCTCTCTGCCCCTGCACCCACCTGGAAGACTCAGATGAAGCTCCAGGCTTCAAACTGGCCCAGCTCCAGCCATTGTGGCCATTGGGGAATTAATCAGGAAGTGGAAGACCTCTCTCTGTCTCTTTCTCTCTCTCTCTGGACCCCTGTCTTTCAAATAACCTTTAAAAAAAAAGGAAGGGATGGAGGGAAAGAGGGAGGAAAGAAGAAGGAAATAGTGATGAGCAATCATTTTCTCTTGGTCACACTTCAGTTGGGTTCTTTGCGAACTCACTCATGTTTGGAACAGTACTTCTCAATGTTGGCATGGTTGATTGGTTAGTTTGTACTTTGGTGTAGTGGGCTGTCCTACTTAGTAAGATTTCTGACCTCAATCCACTAGATATCAGTATAATCTAGTCATGCCATCAAACCCTGTTGAACATCTACCAGGGCTGCAATCACCCTGATTGATGGTTTCTTCCCCCATCACAGTACCCCACATATCATTTGGAGTGATTGAGCAGTACTTTTTAAAAGAAGTATTCAAGGTGGGGCGGAGCCAAGATGGCGGAATAGTGAGGGTGCACACCTATAGTCCGGGAAAATTTAGTTGAATAAAAGGGGAGTTATGGTAGCCGCAGAAAAAAGAACTAGGAAAATATTGCAGGGGAAACCCTTCTGGATGGAGTGGCCATGAATCGGAGGACCTACTGGGAGAACAAGGTCGCCCACTGCGCAGAAGCCAAGTCGCGGGACCCAGCCACGGAAGCCCCAGGGTCTGCGCGCCAGTGCTCAAATGTGAGTGCATGCCACACAGACAACAGCGGGGAGACTTGGGATGCTCAGGGCTCCGAGTCCACACATCGGCGCTGGAAGGGGAGGTGAGCTCAATAACCCGAGACATTGGTGGGAAAACGGGGGTCAGAATCTAGAGGGGGGCCGGAAAGTGCAGCAAACTCACTACCGGAAAGAAGGAAAAAAAAAGCTTCGGGGTTTCTCTTCCCCCTAACCTTGCAAAGGTTACAAGGCTGCAAGGCTTGAAGAATTCCCAAGAGACAAAGAGCAGGCCCCCTCTCTGGATTTACATATCAATGGGGGAGAGCTAAGGAACTGAGTCACTACAATTCAGTAGCCTAGGCAACCCAGTGGGAGTCCAGAGGAGCCAAAGACTGGAAGGGAAATACCATCAATTCTGCAGAGCCATGCCATGCGGTGTTACTTACCCCCTGAATAAATAAAATACATAAATAAATAAAAAGAGAGAGATTTACCACGCATAACCTGAGGGTGTCACCTTTGCACACCCTTAACCAGGAAGAACCAGGCAGAGCTCTCAGGCCGCACCCATCTCAAGCCTCCAAGGCTCCTCCAACAGCAGGCAGTCCACTTAACACGGACACAGTAAAAAAAAAAAAATGCACAGTGAAGCAAGAATTAACTATGCCGAGTAACAAACACAGAAATCGAGGGAACAAGATCAATGATGACACTATGATGCCTCCAAATAAGCAAAACACCCCAAGCCAAGAGTATGAAGATGATGAGATAGAAGAAATGCAAGATACGGATTTCAAAAAATTTATGATAAGAACATTTAGAAGTTTTCAAAAGCAAATCCTTGAACTACAGAAATCCTTAATGGACAAGATTGAAAATCTCTCTCGTGAAAATGAAATTTTAAGGAAGAGTCAAAATGAAACTCAGAAACTAGTAGAACAGGAAAGTGTGATAGTGAAGAGAAATCAAAATGAAATGAAGAGCTCAATAGATCAAATGACAAACACATTAGAAAGCCTTAAAAACAGAATGGGTGAAGCAGAAGAGAGAATATCGGACTTAGAAGACAGAGCACAGGAAAACATACAGTCAAACCAAAGAAAAGAAGAGGAAATTAGAAATCTAAAAAATATTGTTGGGAATCTACAGGATACTATTAAAAAAACCAACATTCGCGTTCTAGGAGTTCCTGAAGGCATGGAGAGACAGAAAGGATTGGAAGGCCTTTTTAGTGAGATACTAGCAGAGAACTTTCCAGGTTAGGAGAAGGACAGAGATATCCAAGTACAGGAAGCTCATAGAACCCCCAATAAACATGACCAAAAGAGATCCTCACCACGACACGTGGTAATTAAACTTACCACAGTGAAACATAAAGAAAAGATCCTAAAATGTGCAAGAGAGAAACGTCAGATTACTCTCAGAGGATGTCCAATCAGACTCACAGCAGACTTCTCATCAGAAACACTACAGGCTAGGAGGGAATGGCGAGACATAGCACAGGTGCTAAGAGAGAAAAATTGCCAGCCCAGAATATTATATCCTGCCAAGCTCTCATTTGTGAATGAAGGTGAAATAAAGACCTTTCATAGCAAACAGAAATTGAAAGACTTTGTGGCCACTCGTCTGGCCCTGCAAAAGATACTTAAAGATGTGCTACACTCAGAAACACAGAAACACGGCCATCAATATGAAAGAAGGGAAAGGAAGAACACCTACCAGTAAAAGAGCATGGGAAGCTCAAAGCATATACTAGAAAATATTTCCGGGAAAATGGCAGGGCAAAGTCACTAGGTATCAATAGTCACATTGAACATTGATGGTCTGAATTCTTCAGTTAAAAGACACCATTTGGCTGACTGGCTCAAAGAACACAACCCAACTATTTGTTGCCTACAAGAAACACATCTCTCTAACAAAGAGGCATGCAGACTGAAAGTGAAAGGTTGGAAAAAGATATTCCATGCCAACAGAAACCAAAAAAAAAAAAAGCAGGTGTAGCCATATTAATATCAGACAAAATAAACTTTAATACAAAAACTGTTAAGAGAGACAAAGAGGGACACTATATAATGATTAAGGGTTCAATTCAACAGGAAGATGTAACTATTATAAATGTATATGCACCTAATTACAGGGCACTGGTCTATTTAAAAGATATGTTAAGGGACTTAAAGGGAGATTTAGATTCCAATACAATAGTACTGGGGGACTTCAATACTCCACTCTCAGAAATAGACAGATCATCCGGACAGAAGATCAACAAGGAAACAGCAGATTTAATTGACACTATTGCCCAAATGGATCTAACAGATATCTACAGAACTTTCAACCCTACATCTACAGACTTCACATTCTTCTCAGCAGTGCATGGAACCTTCTTCTCTAGGATTGATCACATACTAGGCCATAAAGCAAGTCTCAGCAAATTTAAAAGAATTAGAATCATACCATGCAGCTTCTCAGACCACAGCGGAATGAAGCTGGAAATTAGCAACTCAGGAAACCCCAGAAAGTATGAAAACACATGGAGACTGAACAACATGCTCCTGAATGAACACTGGGTCATTCAAGAAATCAAAAGAGAAATCAAAAA